AAAACATATAGCTGAAAGCTGGCAAGGCAATTCATCTCTCAACCACACCAGCAACATGTCGGTTGACTCGGCCATAGTGGCCTGGGTCACTCTTCAGGTAGGCTATTTCCTTAGTTTAATATCGTAACATTTCCCTTATTGTGCCAACATAGTGAAATTCTTTCCGTTAGGAAACAATGGATCTTTCACGGAGCGCGGAGCTCCCTACAAATGAAACAGCTGAACGGTTGATGATGCCAAGAATAGTCAGAAAATGTAATTAGTCAATTGAACCAGCGGAGGCCCAGCGGGAAACGCGTAAATGGAACAACAGAACATATGGGATTAATTGAAATAGAGACTGGGCCGACCCCCCAAACTCCACTTTTTCCCGACACAATACGTACGTTTTAGTAAAAATAACATCTTAACTTTATGATGGTATGCACACACACACATAATATAGAAAAGAAATATCAATAAGAGAATAATATACTGTACCAGGTAAAATAAAAATTAAGGTTTAACACTTACGTCAGGGTAGGTTAGGTTAGAAAAAATCAAGGTTTAACATTTACGTAAGGTTAGGTTATGTTTTAAAAAATCAAGGTTTAACACTTACATAAGGTTAGGTTATGTTTGGAAAAATGAAGGCTAGGCTTAACACTTATGTTAGTAGAAGAGATGGGTTGGCGTACGGGAATGGAGGCTGGTTCCGAGGCAGAGGGCAGGCTACTGGCCCTCAGGTGAGTCACCATCACTGTCATCCACACTTGTCAGGGCCTCCCTGACAAATCCCTGAAAGTCACCATCACTGTCTCTGTCACTTGGGTTGAGGGCGAAGAACTCGGTAATGCTTTGTTGACGGGTAGTGTTGATGTTGTCGTGATACACCTTGATGTAGGGCTCCATAGTCTGCAACAGCTGGGTAGTGAAGACTTCATACCGGTTATCGTCAGGGTTGTCGGAAAGGATGAGCTTCAGTTTCTCTACACACTCGATGGCACCCCTTACATTACCATGCAATAACTTGTGTTCTTCTCGGGATGACGCACCACCTGCCTCTTCACTGACATGATCGTCTTCTCACATCTAGTCGGCAGTCACCTCAGGATCCCTGACCACCTCCAGTATGTCTTCATTGGTGGTTTCGGAGAAGCCTGCAGCTGTAAAACTCTGCGCAGCTTCTCTGGCAAGGTCCACTGCAACTGCAACAGACTGAACCTCACCAGTCACAGGTTGACTCTGCCTCCCACCTGGGATACCTTGCAACACATGTCTCCATGCGTGACGAACCGTTACTACAGACAGCTGATCCCATGCCGCCACCAAGAAGTCCACAGCTTTCTTGACGTTAAATTTCCTCCAAAAGTGTTTCACAAGAACATCTAGCTCTGCCAATTGTTGCTCCTCGTCCTCGTCGCTCTTGCTATCAGTGTCACCCGGGTTATGCAACACATCCTTGGTGTTGGTATAGTCGTTCAGGAGTTTAAACTTCTTTGCAGAGAATGCAGCTTTCACATTGCAGATTAATTCTTGGTCCATTGGCTGGATTAATGACGTAGTGTTGGAAGGAAGGAAGACCACTTTTACGTTGGGGTGACGATCCAACGGTAGGGGCGAGTGTCCTGATGCGTTGTCCAGGAGCAACAAAATCTTGAATGGAACATTCTGTTGCTCACAGAATTTCTTCACGTCGGGAACGAAGCAGTCATCAAACCAGGAGAGGGACAGACCAGTGAACATCCACGCCTTCTTGGAGGTTAGCCAGTGGACATTAATCTTGCTCATGTCCATGTTCTTGTAGGCGTGTGGCTTGCTGGCTGTGTGGATCACCGATAATTTGAGTTTACAGGAACTGGAGGCATTGGTGATAAAGAGGACGGTGATCCGCTCCTTCTGCAACTTCCGGCCCCGACACTTGCTGGCAGACTGGACAACGAAGGTCTTGGAAGGTAGCTTTTTCCAAAATAGACCGGATTCGTCCATGTTGAACACCTGGTCGTCGGTGTACTGTCCTTCCTCCATAATCTCACGTAAGAACGGAGGAAAATCCCTAGCCGCAACACGGTCAGCACTTGCTTCTTCACCACCAATGTTAATGTTGGTGATCTTGTTCCTCTTTTTAAACCTGTGCAGCCACCCAGAGGAAGCATTGAAGGGTTTGGGCTCTGCAATTCCCATCTTACGTGACACTGCTGCGTACAGTTCACGTGCGTACTCCTGAACTGACCGCGTGTCAACCGCCATGTTCCGTTTTGCCTGACAAATCAAGTAGCTCACAAGTAAATTCTCTGTCTTGAGAAGCACCTTGTTCTGGCAATACTTGATCATTGAAGCACCTGCAGACTTTGTGATGTTCATGTGTTCTTTTATCTTGGCTGCATCCTTCTTTATCATCCGGATCGTAGATTCGTTCACACCATGCTGGCGCGCGAGATCAACCTGTCTTGTTCCTTTCTCCAACTCTTGGATGATCTTGTACTTCACATCGTAGCTTAGGGCACGTCGTATCTTCTTTGGCTTAGGGCTGCTGGGTCCAGGTAATGCAAGGTTTTTCTGTGGTGGTGGTGGTCCGGTGGCAGCCATTCTTATGGAACAATAGATGCCGGTATACACGGTGTGGCCGGGAGGGATGTAACTGATACAGCTAGGTCAAGAGGCTTCATCCCTCCCGCGGCAGGGCACGTCATATTACATTAAACCAATCACAGCTAGCGGGTAGGGAGGTAAGAATGTGTGGCCTATTCACAGTCCGATACGTAATATGACGTCACCGATAACGCAACAAAGACATACACTGCGCAACCTACTCGCACCACTTACCCAACATGGCGGAATGGTGGGAGAGATGGCGGGAGGTTTGAATCCAAAAATGGCGCGGTGTGAGAAGACCGCCAGCCGCTCTCCGCGTATATGAGTAGATGCACCGCGTAAAGCAAGAATTCCGGTTCTGGTGGGGTACCGCGTAAATGTAGAAACGAGTAAACGAGAACCGCGTAAAGCGGGGTATTACTGAATATATATATGGCAAAACTACAAAATAGTATAAATTACTTTTATGGCACTGAAGCAAATACTGTTTTGAGTACTGTACTGGACTGTAGTTAAAAAAAGTAGGGTGCGTATAGTAGCTATTGTTTTACTGTGCTGGCAATATCCCCGTTGTTCTCCTTTTTCTTCTTGCACTGGATGATAATATCATAACAGTTGAGAATGAAAGAAAACGCAGGTGAATTGAAGGTGAATGGCAGAAATGGTCTTTGTGGGACTGCTAGGTTTTTTACTGTAATTTGATATTCTCATGAGACAATTCTCAGGCATAAAATGCTTTCAAGCACAAATTTATGGGTACAGTACCATACACTTTTACTTTGATCTGCTACATATCCGTAGAAGCATACAGTGAAAGTATAACGTGCAGTTTTGTGTCGAAAATGCAAATACGTTATGCACAAAAACTCTTTCCTTTGCATTATTTATGACTAAGAGTGTTGCATGTACAGTATATTGAGTTGAAGATGAAAATAAATACAATGAAAGCATAATTGAGGTTAACACAGGGGAAGAAAATAAACAAATATATAATGTATCTTTATGAACCAGAAACACCTAATGTAATCAATGGCCAGCATCCAACACCACCAACTGACCCATTACACCACCCACCCACACTCACCCTCCTGCTGAAACTCACCACCCACCCACACTCACCCTTCACCCACACTCACCACCCACCCACACTCACTACTCACCCTCCACCAACACTCACCCTTCACCCACACTCACCACCCACCCACACTCACCACCCACCCACACTCACTACTCACCCTCCACCAACACTCACCCTTCACCCTAACTCACCCTTTACCCACACTCACCCTTCACCCACACTCACCACCCACCCATATTCACCCTTCTATCAACACCCAATCTCCTACCAACGCTCACCACTCGCCCTTCAGCCCACATTCACCTACAGTACTGATCCATATCCACCATCCACCCACCTGTTCTTTTCATCTAGAATGATTACTTACAGTATATTTGGTTTTTATGGTAACTATTGTGGTTTTATTATTTACTGGTTCAAACACTACGTATACGGGTACTAACTCCTTCAACTTGATTCTGTATCAAATATGATTAACAAATGTAAGTACTGTAGTCCAATTCTAATTGATACAAATCCTTGCCCCTTCAGACACAGCAACAAAATTTGATGTATTTCTTTTTTAATTCAAAAGACTTTTTCAGGGCACACAAGGGATACAAGATCCTTCATAATTATATTTGACATGATTCCTAAAACTAGACTCCGTCACACACCCTAATGAGCACTGAACTTATACTAAGTTTTGATAATATGAATCTCCTACTGATGGAATTATGATTTTGGCCTAATCTCTGCAGCCTTACCATGAGACTAACACAGACACGCACATATGAAAACATACAGTACAGTTTATTAAAATACCCCTTTTTTAACTTGTGGGTGAGAACCAATGAAAAAAAAATTTCTATTTTACACAATAAAGTTTCTATCACCAGCAAAATTAGGCTAAATATGGGAACATAACAATTTATTTGCATAATGTTGGTAGTTAGGGAACCATTTTGTCCATTTTGCAGTTCCCATTACAGTACCGTATTTACTTGCAACCATAATAATAATGTCATTGTTACTTGATGCTGACTAGGACATACTCCCACATTGCAGCTATTGCTGATACTATAGTGATACTTACACCAATAAAAGACACCACTCAACAGAACTTGCTGATATGATTATCTCAAAATTGCCAAAAATTTACATAAGCCTTTATTGCCATGAGGTCCAAAATTGATCTACAGTTCTTATTCATATGTAGATAAAGGTATTTGTAGGACCTGCAAACTTTCCAAAATACACTGTACTTGGGTGCAATACAGTACTTAAGATTTCCAGTGGAAATCTTCATTTTGATACAATTTGTCCGATTGCTAAGCTTCATGTTATAACAATGTCTCTTCTTTGACAGACTGAGGCAGCAGCAAGACTTACAGAGCTGGAGAGACTGCTGGACGAACATGACCAGATTATCCGGGAGCTGAAGCGTTCAGAGAGCGACAGTGGATGCATCAACTATGCTGGTGTGACAACAGCACCTTCATCAGCAACCACGCTAAACATGCTACCCATCACAATAACTCCACCCGCTACGTCCCGCACCGCCCCAACATCCCCACTCTGCTCCCAGCCACGCTCCTCTCAGCACCAGCCAACCTGGAAGGTTGACCCAAAGGACCTCAACTGAAAGAAGATCCTACTTTAGCAGGACTACAAGAATTATTTAAGAGGGAGATGAGGTTGAGTTTAAAAGTTGAGCAATTTAAATGATAAGTCAATTCTTACTAAAACCAATAGAGCAGATCATATGATTCACCGTGAAACTAGTAGGGCAGGTGATGGTGCTGGAGGCAGCAGAATGATCCTGATAGACATTAGTAAAGTAAAATTAAATTATGAGACGGTTATCTTAGAATATTATATGCCTTTAAACCTTGAAGGCACCCATATTACACTATTTCATGTTTTAAAGATACTGATTTTTATCCCCCTTTGTTTTGAGAACCTTAATTCATCCTTATTGTTTGTTGGTACTGGATGACCCACCTTACTGTATAGCTGGAAAAAGTACCCAGCTTAAGAACAACAACTGGAGAAAGGAGGGTCAGCTGCATACCACCACACTGAAGTTGGTTTAGTCTGAAAGACTTTTATAATAGTGTTAAGGAAAATAACGGACCAAGACTGGTGGGACAAATATGGTGCTCTGCCACTAGGAAAAAAGTTCACCGGTGGGAAAAATCTCTTTAATGTCTATTTCTTTTTAGGTTTTGGAAATATTTATTTTAAATACTGTACAGTGGAATTCAGTTAATATCACAGTCTCCATGCAGCATAAAAATTGGACATTAAACAAACTTGGTTTCAAAATTTGCTGAGGTTGTGCAGTGTTATGTACCAGTACTCAAAGAAAATAATCCTGTAAGGAGTGAAGAAATTTATATGGCCGGCATATTACAATACATATACTGTATAGATTTATAAGTTGTCTGGTATGTAATGCTTATCTTTAGTTCTTTCTTCACAAGTTCAATCTTTATCTTTTTGAGCTTAACAAAACTTTTCCAGTACTATACTGTTCTTTAAAGTGTTCTGACAACAAACTTGTCTAATAGTGAGAAGGCTTTTTCACATGTCTCAGTCAGTTCAGACAGCTGGTATAAATGCTTGATTTCATCCACAATCTATGAGTTGTCAAGTGATGTGGTGCTCTCAAGATTCTCATGACTTCAGTTCAAAATAACTATCAGTGAAGCCTGTAGAAGACCTGTTTGACTTCCATTCAACTCAAAAAAGTTTGCTTTCTCAAAACAGTGCACTTCTGTCACTTGTGACACTGCCAAACATCACGAGTGAGTATCATGTCACTTAGTAGATCCACTTTCTTGGATAGAACATCAAGACCACACCACTGTGTGTCCTCAGATGACTGGATATGCAGTCTAACTTTGCTGTTTGACTTTGTAGTACCTGTGACTACAGCATAACACAAGACATCTTCCTGGGACTTCATATGACCAAATTAAACTGCCTGGCATTTGCTATGTGTACCATTGAGTTAATCAGTAACCAATACCTTTAAAAACGATTACTACAAGCAAAATGTGTCACTAAGTTGCGTGAGAAGTTAAGTCAAGGTTGTACATGTTCAGTATAGCCAATATGACAAGTGGTTATCAGAAATTTATGAGAGAACTGTGGCACTTAGCAAGGTGATATCAGGTGCATTCCACTGTAGTTGTATTTTGCTTATTTCTAACATGGTAGTTTAAATTTTACAATGATACTGTGCATTGGTTGGGTTAACAGTTACCACATAATTTCTTGTATGCATAATTATGCATTACCTGAATTACATTCATTACTACAATTCAACACACAGTACCACTTAAAACCATCACACACATCACATCAGCTCATTATTCTGAATAGCACAACAGTATAGCACAGATCTTTCAATGCAGCATGTTGCATAACACTACAAAAGCAAACAATGCATGCCAGTGAGATGCACAATTCAACAGAACATCAAAACACAGAAAATATTACAACATGTTGCACAATACACTGAGCAGATGTATTTCACTCTCACAAAACAGTACAGAATACTTAATAGCACCACAAGTGGCACCATCAAACTTACTGGCACAGCACTTCTGCATATTACACCTCACAGGATTTGTTAACACTGAACAGCACCCTTTCACTGCACACCACAACAAAGCACATTATGTAAGACCAGTGTTCAACAAAACACTATGCACAGCAAAAGGCTCTATTCAGTATCACAACTGAGGACACTGTCCAGCACCAGAGTAGGCTGTATAGAATCACAGCTCAGCACAATGCACCTAACTTTGTGGAACCATACTACACCACAAAGTATACAGCAGAGCACACTGAGATGCACTACAGCACATGACAATGTGTAGCACACTAGCATATTGCATACTACAACAGTGTAGAACACTACAGCACCACAGCACAATGAAATGCAAGGTACTCAAGCACATTGCACATTACAGCAATCTGAGTGTGCAGCACTATAGCACATTGCACAGAACAGTAGTATAAGTGTGCGGCACTACAGCACATTGCACAGGACAGAAGTATGAGTAGGTAGCACTACAACATACAGGGTATTGCAAAGTAAAGTAATATAAAAATGTGCAGCACAACAGCACATTGTACAGTATGACAATACTGTATTGTATATTACACTGAGAAACACCAAGTCACTAGGAAGCACCAAATCACTGGGAAGCACCAGAGAATAGCATAGCACAGTGCACAGCATTAAACAGTGACGTATAATACAAACACGACACTGTGCACCAATTTAATACACTTCTGCAGCACTACAGCACATTGTCTACTACAGAAGCACAGGACACATAAAGCACTGCATCATAATGTGCAGAATGACAGCACTGTAAAGCAGCACACAATAGCACAAGGTACATTCAGAGCACCTGAGCACATTGCACTCTATGAGCACAGCATATTGTGGTGCAAAACAGTACACTAGCACAGCAGAACAATATTCACTAATTTTTTTAAAATCAAATTTACAAAGTGCATCAGTCCATGAGTTACTTCATTTAAAGAGTCAAAATTATTTTACTTTCATAATATGTACACTGTGATTCCATAAAGGCAATTATGTTATTACATTCATCTTAAGTTGGACCAATAACATATGAACTGGATTAGAAAATCCATGAAGGTCAGGAGTTGGATCACAACAAAACTATTACTGAAAAGACCCCAACACAAGGCATCCAGTATCACAAAGTGTGCCCAACATTATAGCACTGAGTAACTATTAACTTCACAATACACATTATTAAAGCATATAGTAGCCATCACCATCTCAGCATATTTCAAAACAGTACACATTTTCAGAACAAACTTCACCTTTACTGTACAGAGCCACAACACATAAACCCCAACAACCTGATATACTTCTAACCATGACACCAAAAGCAGCTGGATGTTAGTACAGTACTACCAGTACAGTACAGTATGTGCAAAACCAACAATTGGTTAACAGAAAGCAACAATATCTGTTTAGAACTGCAACACATTATCAAGTATAAGAGTTGTGTTACTAAATACAATAAAGTATCTATCAAGTGGAAATCTACTTTACAAAGTTATCTATTGCAAAATATTTGAACATTCTTATTATGAAATTTAAGAATATAAAATAATTTTCTTTTAGTTAGTTTACAAATATTTGAAGAAACTAATGGTATAACAACTTGACAGAAACCACTTGGCTCCAAACTTCGGTTGACATATTCTTTATTGTAACATGATCAAAATATTATATACCCGGTAGATCACAAACAGTTAAGTACCACTAAAATACTAACCTAAAGATCCCACAATAAGTGGACATCATGCATCTGTCAGAATTTGGCAAAAAAATGGAAGCATAGAAAGTCATTATGGCACTGTGTAATTTATAAACATACCTATACTGTACTGTACTGTACAGTATCAAATTTCAAGAGAGCGAATAAAAAGCCTCGTAATATCTTATCAGTATTTTTTTTTAATCTTTGTTTTGTACTGGGAATTATTTTCAAGTGGATGCTGTTGTAGTATATACACTATATCCATTTGCATTCATTTTGAGAAAATCTCAGAATTACAAAATGCTTATAGATATTTTACTTGTTTGTTTTGAATGAAGGCTATTCAGTATGGCTATATGTAGAAATTCTTCTTAACAGTACCCGGTAGTTGGTACAGTACTGCAGTTGCCCCCAGGTGTTCTACCCCTCGGTGGCCATTCCACAGAGCGGCGGAACACTATATCTGTGGGCAACTGTACATCAATTGGTATTCATTCTGAAAATATAGGCTACAAATAGTAGATGAATTATGATTTCTGCTCATATTCCATTAAGTGATAAGTCTGAAGCAATACATTTGTGCATTATGCAGACTCAATTTAACTGACCCTAGATGATTAAGTATTGTATGGGGAAATGTTAAATTCTTTAGTGTTGCACAAATGTGTAAGTTAAAAGTTGAAAATATTTTTCATCGTTTCTAAATTAAAAAACTGATATTTCTAATTGTAACCAATGTTTGTTTCCGCAAGAGACCCATAAAAATCTTAAATCCCTCTACAGTATAAAATACTGTATTGTACATTAGTTGTTTGGCATTGAGTATTCAAGTGACAAGGATCATGTTTGTAGGAGCCTTGGGATAATACAACATAGGCAGGTCTATAATTATAGACCTGCCTAAGTTGTATTTGCATTACATTACACTGGCTCAACTTTATGAAGTTTGCACTACTTGAATCTTGAATTAATACTTAAAACATTTCATGACTACCTTTAGAATGGGTGTAATTAAATGGAATGCTTTAAGAATTTTCTTAGCATCTAGGAAATGTCAAAGTCCTTATGTGTTGTAGGGTGGTGGTGGATATGAGTTAGATATAAGAAAAAACATGAGAAACAGGAATATCTTTAAAGTTACCAATGCACAAGAAAATATTTGAATTTACTTTACTTGTATGACCTCAAAGCTAATGGTTGAGGTTTTTATTTCTAACTTTTGTTTCTTGGATTACTTTTTGTTTTGCCTTCAAGAATTTATGAACACGTATCATTCCATATTCATTCGAATGCTGCCAACGTTTAATTTATTTGTTCTCTATTCTTTATCATACTATTTTATTTACTTCAATTATCTACTTTTATTCCAACAAGGATAAGTCTTTGTTAAGGAATTCCTCCTTAGGCTCCTTTGCACTAGGATATATAAACTCCTAATAATATGTAGCATGAACTAAACAAATGATGTTAAATAGCTAGTGCACACAGTATCCATATTCATGTCTAATGATTACAAAATATAATCATATGATCAAAGTGAAATACTGTACAATGATGGAAACTATTGTGAATCATCATTGACTATTTATGTATCTGTGATGGAGTGAACCAATTATATATAAAGTGCAGTATATGACTTGTTGAACATTTTAGTCTTTGACTCAGCCCACAGTGGTCAGGATATTAAATAAGTACAAGGTGTGTACAGTATTCCATTCTGTATGTGAGTTTTACAAACCCTAAGTTAAAGTTATTTATTTTAAAATATAAGTGACAAGAGTTACTTCTCTTATGACTTGAGGATTGTTAACTTTTTCTACAATAGAAAAAACCAAAGTTATGGAACCCATTTTATGATCATGCCACATTCACCTACTTTTACCTGTGGGTGGATAATTTATAGTTGCAGGCTAATTTGCAGCAATAAGGAACTGCTTGCTTGTAGTCATACCAAAAAATCTTATTCCTTAAAAATCAACCTAGTTTCTTTGCTTTTACATAGGCAATATAATACATGAATGGTATACCTTCAGCATGTTTAATTTTTCCAATGAGTAACAATAATTGGTGCTAGATGTAAGACTGTACATATATGAGATCACACAGGACCAAGGAAACTACAGACATTATTAGAAATATCCAGATAAAACTAGAATATAGTAAAAGAATATTGTTTAAAAAACTTGGTACCACTGTTGGGTTGAGCTGAAGACATAAGGGTACTGCTAGAACCTCAAGAAGTGGTCTAAGTTTGTATAACAAAACTAATTCTATATTAGTTTTATTGTGTTTTAGAAACTAGATATATGATGAGTTTGGCATATCAATAGCTGTGGTAGCCTGTATGAAGCTGGTGATAGCTGATAGTCTTATGCATGTGAGGAGTTCATGTTCCCATGCAGTCTGTCGTCATGTACAGGTGTGTTTATGTACTCTAGATGTTGCAGGCATATGTACAGGGCCTATGATTGGTGATAGTCCCTATTACAGCCTTCATATTCTTGTTTACATCAAAATATCATATATGGTTTTTATCCCTCATGTTTCTTACATGTATGAGAGTTGTATACCCAAAAACATGTTTTAATGGGGTTTCTATGTCCTGTGAATATCATTTTGACACCTGGAGGACTCATATATCCTTTCATACAATTGTGACAAACTGCAGACTCAAATTCCTACTTTAAATCTATTATCATTTTAGGAATTGTATTCCTATACATAATTTTAAGAGAACTTACAAATTGATATTTGCCATTACAAAAGCAATGAATAAGATTCCTGTTGGTGCAGTTATGACATAGGAATTAACTTCCCTTTGCTTATATTTTTGAAATTTGGGATTCGCATTATCCTATTTTTCATTTATTTTGAATATTTGACTGCACATCCCCTTTGACAAGGTTGCTGTATGTGTCTTGCTTATAAGATCTAAAGACAGGGAACTAAGACTGTAATTCATATGGTCTTGTTGTATAAATGGTATGATAAGAAAAGAATTCAAGTAATCTTATGCATTATCATTAAATACTGTTTGTATATCTGCTATGGCAGCTAAATCTTGTTAATTAAAAAATTAGTAAAAATTTGAAACGTCAACAAAATACGTAAAATACAGAAAAGAGAAATGTTTGTAGAATGGTAACTTGTTTATTCTTCACTAAGGGGTGTGCATTAACAAGCTTTAGCAGTATAAACATATATTTCACTTGAGTTTAGGTAATGTAGTACAGTGCTATACTGTATAGTACAGTATGTATATGAAAATTTGGTTTGGTCTGCTATAGACAACAATTTAACCTTAAGTTAGCATGTTATTCATGTATGTATTTCCATTTAGTTTAGATCTTCCAAGTGAAAGATATATATGTATAAAATGTAAATTAATAAAATTGTACTTACATTACTATTCTATTAGTCTTCCCTTGGTATTTTAAATGTAAACTACAGTACTTTGAACATGGCTTATTTATTCCAACACAGCCTCATTTCCCTTAACCTTTAAGCCCCGGGTTAGGGTGCTGCTGGCAGTACCCCCCACGGGGTTAAATCGAGAAAAAAATTAACTTTTCTAAAAATAATAACAAAAACTAAAAAACTAAAAACTAAAATAAAATAAAGTAAAAAAATGGCGGGAATACAGGTTGACAATCCCTTATCCGAAATCCTTGGGGCCAGGTCACAGGTCACTGACCCACATTGGGGCCTGGGAGCTAAAATATAATAATAATTATAATTATAATAATAATAATAATTCATAGGTCTAGGTTGTGTTTCTCACTTTTGATCTTTTTTTCATTCCTGTATTTCTTTATTATTATTATTTTATTATTACAGTATTATTGTTATTATTATTATTGTTATCATTCTTATTTTATTTTTGTGTATTTTTTATTAAAAATTTTATTTACTATGAATAATTATTATTATTGCTGTATTATCATTATTATTATAATTATTATTACTATTACTATTACATTTTCACCCCCCAGGTCCCGATGTGGGTCAGTGACCTGTGCCCGGGTGGGCTAATACCAAAAAAAAAAAAAAAAAATGCTCCACAAAAACACTTTCGGTTTTCAGAGCTTTTCGGTTTTTGGAATTTCGGATAAAGGGTTGTCAACCTGTATAGGCGGACGTTCTGGAACGTCACCCGGGGCCTAAGAGTTAAGCTATGACCACACTAGAGTTTTCCGTGCAATAAATCCATGGTAGTATTTCATCCACAGGCAATAAGTCAATGGTACATTCCGCACATTGGTCACACTGGCGAAAGGAACCGTTGGCCAGAAACCCAGTTCGCAAGGCTAGTTCGAGCTCAGTTGGAGAGCAGGATAGCTTCATTGCATGTTTCTATGGCAGCATTAACCATTTTTGTGAGATGTGTGGTCCTGTTAAAAAAGACCAAGACGAAAAAGAAACTATTGTTGCATCCAGGCGATGTTTGTTTACAAAAGTGATGCAAGTATTCTAGTCAAATGAGTTCCCGTCGTGATGTATTTTTATTATTTTTTTATTCACTATGACATTTTTCCTCGTGTTTTGTTATTGAAATACACCTTTTATATTTTCTGTACATCTTAACATTAATTATAAAAAATAATAACAGTGTAAATGTTATTAATACAATAGACTGTCCACAGCAAATTTCAACCCACCGTACCGTGGATTTCTTCGTATCATCCCACTTTTGACAACAAATAAGTTGTCGCTGTAGAGACAACTTGAGGAGTTCATTGAAAAACCAAAACAACGGTGGATTTATTCTGGGTAGAAACTTTAGTGTGACCACAGCTTCACATTACACAGTGGTTGGCACCAAGATCATAGACGCACTCCCCATTTGCTGACATTCACTCACTTCTACTGCTTTAACAAATCTGTTTGGCTACAATGTAATTTCATAATAAATGTTTATTATTTACATGAGTGAGTTAGTAAGAGTGGTAATGGAGAGGGTAGGACATTTGGTAAATAATTATATATGTAGTATGCAAAAGGAGCATTTCATCTACTGTTTACAAATTTTATTGCTCCAGTGGGTGATAGTGAAGAAATGTTACATACCGGTATGTTAATGAAAGAGTATGGAACAGTATGTACTGCAGTCTGTTCTCTTGAACCTTGCAGCTGAGGCCTAGGTTCAGTTTGTAACAAAGCAGCTGATTGGCTAGTGGACGGACACGGGAAAAATCACTACAGTTCTTTAGTGTATTTAATATATCTTATTTATATTTTGATATTTTAGGGGCTAATAACTATTCTGTGTTGATCTCTGATAATTTCTGCACTTGAGGAAGCAAAAATTAGCATGTGAAACACTCTGGTAACATAAATATCTTGAAGAGGTCACAAACATGATGAACAAGTTCTGAGACATAAGCTTCTCCTTGTTAAGTGACATCATGCAGTGTGGTGGAGGATGTAGCTTAATTTTTTAATCTTTTTCTTGTTCTCTTCAAGATATTTATGTTACCAGAGTGTTTAACATGCTAATTTTTGCTTCCACAAGTGTAGAAATTATCAGAGATCAACAAAGAATAGTTATTAACCCTTAAAATATCAGAAGATATACTGTATACAATATATTAAATGCTAAAGAGCTGTAAGGTTCTAGTGAACGGACTAAAGGATAGAGATAACAGTGAATATGAACAAAATATAATTGATGAAGATAAGTAGATGAAACAGGAGGAAAAGAACTAGAACTTGAAAGGAGGAAGTGAAGTGATTCAAATATCTGGAAGTGTATGTATCAACTACTGGAACAACGAGGGACTAATGAACCATTGAATAGTGCTGGATAAAAAGGATTAATAGGTATGTTGAGAAATGTATGGAGAGAGAGAACCATTTTAGAGGCAAAGATATGGTATGAAGCATGGACTCTAGATTGCAGAGTTAGAAGAAAAGAAAACATGTTTGAGAGCCATGATAGGTAACCAGAAATTGCAAAAAATAATAAATACAGAAATTAGGACAGGTAGAATTGAAAGGGTGTTCTGGAAATGTTGGAAGAATGGGAAGTGAAAGATCGGTAAGAAGAAA